GCAGCCCCCCCTGCCCACATCAAGGCCTTTTGTCGGCAGCCCCGTTATTCCTGGTGGGATGACTTTTACGGGGGCTGCCGACAAAGGGCTTTGATGTTGGAAGGGGAGCGTTCAGACTAGCACGCTGAGCGGACAAACAGCTGATTAGCTGTTTGTCGGCTCAGCGCAGCAGCCATGTAAATTTAAATGAAGCAGTGATTATTTAAATCGCCGCTTCATTTTCCTATGTCTGGTAGCATAATCTACATGCCGCTGGCGACAGAGGCATGTAGTCTAGACGTAGCCTAAGACATGATTTCCCTTTACAGAAACTCAACTTTTGCCCAACAAATTATATTCTTCTATGTGCTTAACAATTTTATTCTTAACTTTTGTTTCCACTAATTTGCCCGGTACTGATGTTAGACTTACCGGTGTGTAATTGCCAGGATCACCTCTAGAGCCCTTTTTAAATATTGGTGTCACGTTAGCTATCTTCCAGTCATTAGATACGGAAGCCAGTTTAAAGGATAGATTACAAACCACAGTTAACAGTTCTGCAGTTTCCCATTTGAGTTCTTTTAGAACCCTTGGGTGAATGCCATCCGGTCCCGGTATTTTGTTAATGTTAAGTTTTTCTATTTGTTCCAATATAAAGCTGTCCTTTATATCAGGACGGGTCCAGCAAGCTGTCTTCTGATTGGTTCCCCATAAGCTCTTTCCTGATTGGGTAGGACTCTGAAGGCTCCCTCTAGCCTGCTTTAACCCCTCCCTGCTGGGCAGTTACCCAAGGCCCAGTGAGGAAATGTCTGCCTGGAACACCCAAAAGACGATAGCTAAGTAGTACTGCGGGAAGAGGGTTACTGACCACTAGTGGAACAGAAAATTTTTGTCCTTGGATAATAGGGTTGTTATTCATGTTGGAGCTCAAACTTCTCCAACACGAGGAGAACTTCAGACCTCTATGGCTTCTACCACTCAGAATGATTATAGCTTTGTTCCTTAAATCAAACTTTGGTTCATAGAAGTTGTAACTTAAGGATTTAGGTACTGAAATGTTTATAATCCACTCAGAAAAGAATATATAGAAGTTCCTGCTTTGGAAGATATTTCTTTGATCAGAGCTCGGAGGACATATGCTTGGTCTAGATAATGGGGGTTAATACTGCAGCTCATTGAAAATATACAACAACCTGACCAGAAAGAAAACAATCTTTTGGAGAAAATTAAAAATTCTTTGTTTCAAAGAAGCAAAGCAATGTGAAATGTGTAGAGGCCTTTCTATCTATGTATATAAAAAAACTAATGGAGAAATAAACACAGGATTGGGAATCAGGAGTAGAGCTGAGAAAATATTGATTCTAGGGTGGGTGTGTGTGGGTGTTTAAATAGGAGCAAGGCATCAGAATAGCCAGTAGGCAGAGCAAGGGTGTTTAAATAGGAGCAAGGCATCAGAATAGCCAGTAGGCATAGGGTTGGGGCACTCACCTAGGATATAGGATGCCCAGCTTCAAGTCTCTGGTCAGAGTCAGCTCCTAGGCTGTTTGCTGTTCTGGTGGAAATGTTTCTCTCAACTTTTTGTTCTGGACCAGAGAAACTTATCCTGACAGAGCATTGATCACAAAATGACTTAGTCCAGAAAAACACAAAATCCCCCAACATTTTGGTGTTATCAAATCAGTGTTTTCTAATGAAAAAAGTTTTGTTAGAAAATTCCTAGCCAGCCCAAGTCAGGAGTTCAAAGGCTAGCTCTGCTATTGACTCACCTTGAGGCCTTGGACAAGTCATTTCAACTTTGCTTCCCTGTGTACAAAAATGAATGAGGGTAACAATTTAGCTGTATACCTCACTGGACTCTTTGTAGATTCCTGCATAAGTAATTTTTTAAAAATGGATCACTTAGGCTCTTCTGAAAATGTTAATCAGTGGGACTACCCATCACTTTTTTGAGTATTAGGAAAATCTGCATTATCATTGTATACTGTGCAAAAGAGAAATGATTGTATACATTGTGACAATTATTTCATTTGTATTCCATTGTGGATGAAATTTACATAAATATTAAACTGTGCTTCTTATCTGAAACGTGACTGCAAACTATCCAAGATTAGGTGGGGCCAAGGCATGGTAGTCATTGCCACTGGGTTTTCATTGAGTGCTGGCTGAAATTTAAAGCATGGCAATGACAGCAATTATTATTTACCACTTTTCTACACGAAGTCCACTGCACCACCTGATTATATTCCCTTATTCTCAAAGAGGTGAGTGTGGCACCTTATATTTTGTTAACACAACTCTAAAACATGTAAAAAAAGTCACACTGAAAAACATGCTGACGTTTAGCTTTGTGTAAATACATTGTAAAATGAGTAACACAATGTTATTGTTATGTTTAAGATATGGTTGGAACCTTAAAGGAAATTCTTCCCAGCCTCCAAAAAGATATTGATGTTTGGGTAATGACAAAAGACTGCACTCTGCCAAATGTTAAAACCCTTTTAGACAAACTGGAAGCTGCATCTGAAGACGGTGTACCGGTTAATCTTCGCTCTGTAAACAACCTCAAGTCTTCTGTACTCTACATTTTTACCTCAGGAACAACAGGTACAACTCTCTTACATTTCCATCATTTCCTCAAACTGTTTATGAAACCATCATACATCAGTTAATTTGTCTGCATCAGACACCTTAAAAGTATCACCTTGGTCGATAGGAGAAATTATCAGAAGCTCAAGAAAGACAATGGTCATTTCCCAAGCTGTTGGCATAGAGGATCCCCCACCTTTTCACCTGCCCAGCTGAATTTCTTAAATCCTGGGGCAGAGCATTATGCCCTATTATTATTGGTGCCTGCTAGTCAGCACTGCAAACATAACAATAATATTTTGGTTTAAAATGCAGCTACAGAGCTAATGTGTACAGGTATATCTAGATCTTTATAATATCCTTTCAAAACAAATGACTATGCACTTATTGTGAAGTGAGTGTTCTGTAAGTTGCTTTGAATGCAGGTCACCAAAGAGACAGAAAATAGGATTAAGTTACTAACCTCTTAGTTGAGAAACAGATGGCTGGGTTCAATACTATTGCTCCAGTGGCTAAGAGGTTAAGACTTTTAAAAAATTCTTATAATTGACATAAAAAGCGGCATGATGTTTTTAGGATAAACAGATTGGTGTTTCTTATTCAGCTGAAGACTCATTTGTGGTTTCAGTCATGAGATGTTTTAAAAATAACTTGCATCTCACAATCATGCCCAAGCGTGATTATTTTGTTGATTTTTATTTGCCTCCATGGGATCATACATTAGTTTATTATAGAACTAAATTCTATTTGTTTTTAAAATAGTTTAAAAAACCCACAACTTTTGTAAACATTATTCAGAGAGAAAATTACGTTTGAAATAATGGTGAAAAAATAATCCTGAGCTTGCTACTATCGATAGGAATGTAGTTCTGAATACTCTTAGCTAAATCACGTTATAGACTTCTCTAGGTTGTCTACTCTGTAACATAGTTCTTACAATGTCAGCTAAGGTCTACGTATGAAGCAGAAGTAGAAGAATTCAGTGCATAGAATTAATCTAATATAGATTTAATCTAATATAGTTTAGTTACCTGCAAAGGTAAGAAAATGTGAGTGAGTGTTTGTAGCCCGTGCCCATACAACTTTATCTCTTTTTAATGTACAGTGTAATTGCAAAAACAATGGTTATATAGAATGGAAGAAAGTTAGAGGGGAACTGAATCATTATGTCTAATGCAATTAGATCCATGTAGTGCAATCTGATCCATTTATCCTTTTCATGCTTTCCAATAATATAAGAACACATGATTGCTGATATAATTAATAATCTAGATTTACTGGCCGAGTTAAGAGGAGTTAAAATCTTGTGCAGCTTTTAGTCATTTTGTGGCATCTAATGCCAGGGGAAATCAAAAGCAAATACAATGAAAGGGTTTTTCAAAGTGCTAGCTTATTTTGATCAATAAAATAATTTTGTATCTATGTATGCTAAAGTAAGGAAGGCTGATTCATAAAGGAAAGAATCTTTCCCTTACATAATGCATCACAGATCTAGCTACAGTATTAGGTAGGAATGGTGTCCCAAGACTCTGTTTGTCAGAGGCTGGGAATGGGTGATAGGGGAGGGATCACTTGATAATTAACTATTCTGTTAGTTCCCTCTAGAGAGCCTGGTGCTGCCATTGTTGGAAGACAGCATTCTAGGCTAGATGTTCGTGTAGCTTGATCCAATATGGCCGTTCTTATGTTCTTCTTGGTAGTGACCGACGTGTAGCTTGACCCAATATGGCCGTTCTTATGTTCTTCTTGGTAGTGACCTGAGTGCCCAGGTGAGCCTTCTTCTGGAATGTCAAGAGGAGGCCACTATTAGAGGCAGTCAGGAGGAAAAACTCAATGAATCTTGATATCAATATGGAAAATCTTTTGTTTGCAGTGTTTTATTTATTTATGCTTGGAAAGATATGTATTTGTGAGTGGCTCTCACCCCAAACACAGCTTTATAAACCTGGTTAGCTTACTTAGTACAAACTCCTAATTGGTTTTTAATTTTGTATATTTATGATTATCCATTTTGTAGTCCTTATCTTTCTGAATTTTAAACAGCAACTGCTAATGGTGTTCTGGTTCCTGAGAACAGCCTTTATCTAGGAGCACAAGAAAGGAAAAACACGTTCTTCTAGAACTCTTTTCCAGAAGACAGATATCTTACTGCTTCCCACATCATCTGCTAAGGAACAGACATTTGGGAGGCAGGAAAGCCCTTGGATCTTATGGGAGAGAGATACTATGAAATCAGTGTCATGTGATGATGCTAAAGAATCACATAAAGAGGTGATTTCTTTCAACACTGAACAAAGATTAGAAGTAAGAAAAACAATATTGTTTTTCAAGTTTCTTCAGCTTCACCTTAGTGCTTGTGCCTAGAACATTCCTCAGTCTGCTTTCTATCAGACTTCCTTGGTCAGTTGTCAAGAAACTGTACACATCCACAGGTGGGGTAAAGTGTGTGAAAAGCCAAAATGAAATGGAACAAAGTCATGACAGCTGTGAGTGTCTGTTTGTAGAGCTGCCCAGGAAACAAAGATGGGGCTTTCTACAAAACTGGTTCTTGCCACGAGTTGTCTATATCCTGTACTGATCAGTAATATGGATGTTGGCTTCCCTTTTAAAGCACTGCACCTCTGATACTGCTGTGCTGCTATAGTGCTTTAATGAAGAAGCTTTAAGTTGATAGGAGAAAGCTCTCCTGTTGACTTCATTAATCCATCTCCCTGAAAAGTGGTTTCTGTCGGCAGGAGAAGTTCTCCCTTGGATGTAGTGCTTTTTGCACAGAGGATCAGGTTAGTGTAACTACATCACTGAATGTCATAGTGATACCAATCTAGGTCTGCAGTGTAGACCAGACTTTCGGTTACCTTTCCCAGAGCAGAAGCAGAGTTCTGCATAAGCTCAAAAGCTTATATTTTTCACCAACTGAAGTTGGTCCAATTATGGATATTAGCTCACCAAGGCTGTGTCTAGACTGCAGGTTTTTTCGAAAAAAGTAGCCTTTTTTCGAAAAACTTCACCTGCGTCTAGACTACAGCCGTGTTCTTTCGAAATTAAATCAAAAGAATGTGGCTTTTCTTTCGATGGAGATACTCCTCATTTCACGAGGAAGAACGCCTTTTTCGAAGGAGATCTGTTGAAAATAAGTGAGTGTGGACATGGCGAAGCCTTTTTTTCTAAAATAATGGCCTCCAGGAAGAAGCCCTGGTAGACAATCTGGGGCATGCCTTGCATGTCTCTGGTTCCTGTCTGCAGCCATTTTTTAAAGGGACAGTCACCTTCACAGCCAGTTGTGGCAACAAAGCAGCCAGAGCACACGGCTGTTCAAGTGCAGTTGTGTCCCAGCCCCAAGACCCTCCTGGCCCTTCCAGATAGCCTTCTAGGGACTGAACCAGGGGCTCCAAACGCCGGGCACCAGCATGGTCTGGGCCAGAGCTCAAAACCCTTCTCGAGCTGTGGTCAGAGGAGGAGGCCTTACAAGCCCTGAACACCAGGCGGCGAAATGCGGACATTTTTGTCCGCATGGTAGAGGCCCTGGCCCAGAGAGGGCACCACCCCCGCACCCAGGACCAGGTGCGCTCTAAAGTAAAGGAGCTGTACCAAGGCTATGTGAAGGCCAGGGAGGAGAGCTCCCGTTCTGGGGCAGCGCCCTACTCCTGCCCCTGTTATTCAGAGCTGGCCCAGATCCTTGGTGGTGGGGAAGCACGCACACCACTGTGTCTCATCCAGTCTGGCTTGGGGGACCCTGTGGTGGACGCGCCAGAGCAGGACCTAGAGCAGTCCAGGGAGTCTGGAGATGGGGGAGATGGTGCTAGAGGAGGAGGACAGTGAGGAGACAGTGACTCTCACTCTGGAGCCAGTCACCCAGACCCCAGAGGCCTCCCAGGTGTCATCTGAAGCCGGAGACGAAGCAGCAGGTGAGTGCAGTGATGTCGTGTAACACACGGGGGGGGGGGGGGGGGGGGGGGGGGGGGCACGGGG